AAGCAAAATCTGGTAACTTTGTGGACTTACGAATGGTATGGATTGACGTAAGGTGGATCCACAATCTCAGACGACTTGAGTACCATAGGAGAAGAGGAGCTTCAGGTGTGCTGGAGAGTAAGTGTCAGTACCTGCAGAATGATCAGTACTAGGAACCTGAGATGACAAACTATCAGAATCCTCAGAAAAATGATCTATACGAATTAGACAGATCTAGTCAAGGTATGAGTAGTGGATAGAATAGAAAAGAAAGGTATATGCTCAGAAAAAACAACATGACGAGACACTAAAGTTTTTGAGTTCTTGGATCAAAACAACGATACCCCTTTTTACCTTCACCATAACCAAGAAAGACACAAATAACAGATCGAAGGACAACTTGCTGCGTTCTACATGAGGACGAAGAACAAAACAAGTACAACCAAAAACTTTAAAGAAAAATAATCAGGGCATACCCTACAACTTTTCGAAAGGAGAAAAACCTGAAATATGAGAAGATGGAATTGTATTAATCAAACCTACAGCAGTAAGAACAGCTTCACCCCAAACACACTAGGAACAGAGGAAGACAATAAGAGAGAACACAGTTTCAACAATGTGCCTATGTTTTCTTTCAGCCACACCATTTTGCTCAGGAGTATCTGTACACGAGGTTTGGTGAACAGTTCCATCTAATGCAAGCAACTCACAAAATTTATAGAAGTGTATTCCCCACCCAAATCACACCTAAAACATTTGTAATAGCAGAATGTTGAGTTTTGACAAGAGCTCGAAAGGCTGTATAATCTCAAAAAATTCAAACGATGTTTCATTAAATAAACCCAACATAACGAGTATGATCATCATAGAAACATAATATTGAACCCTCCTTTTGTGGCAACGAGAAGGTCCCATACACAGAATGAATCAAATCAAATGGAGAGAAGAAACAAAAATACTTCGATTAAAGTAAAGCTAAAATTTTGCCAGTTTACATCCACTACAATCAGAAATATCACAAGTTTGCAAATTTCCTAAAGCCCCTGTGGATGCCAAAAATCTCAAACGAGAAGACAAAACAGACCTAAATGAGAAGTCATAAATAAAAACTAGAGAAGAAGGACTCAACCGAAAAGAAGACAAATCAACACTAGTAGCGGCAAAATCAACACTAGTAGCAGCAGCAGCAACTGGCACTTTTAACTCATCCAAAATATAGTCCCCCCTTCCTACGGCCTTCCCAATCAGCTTCTGAGACTGTAGATCCTGCACATAACAAGAAAAGAGGAAAAGGTGACTAAATTACCAGAATCACATAACTGACCAACAGAAGCAAGATTTAATGTAAGTTTTGGAATATGATAAACATTAGAGAGAGACAAGTGAGGTGTGACAACAAAACCAACACCTGCTAAGGCATAGGAGTGTCATAGCAGTCATGAGCAAAAGATGAAGAATGGAGACATATAATGTGAAGCACCAGAATCCAAAACCCATACAGAATGTGACATACCTGAAAACTATAAGGTAACTGACCTACGGAAGAGAGCAGACATAGCTGTGGCTGTAAGGAGAGAAACTTCTGAAATTGCTCAGCCAGAGTACTAGGATCGTGAAAGACCTGATGAACTACTGCTGCAGTATTAGACTATGGTGGTTTGTAACCCTGAGGTGGTCTATGAGCATTAGATTGTGACTGGTTGCCAGGCTTCCAATTTGAGATTGCTGCTGCTTGATTCTGCTGTCTCAACTTAGGACACTGAGCCTTCCAATGACCTTTTTGCTTACAGAAACTGCACTCGTCGAAGGCAACCCTTGTGTAAGGTTTTTTTGATTATTAAAGACTGGCTTCGAAGGTACTGCTAACACAGAAGGATTAGAAGTCGAAGCAGAAAGAATTCCCTTTTCAGAATGAGACTTAAGACGTATTTCTTCAGCCAATAACTCATTGACAACTGAGTCAACAGAAGGCATTGGAACGATGCAAAATTGAACTCTAAGTCCTTCAAAATCACTACGAAGTGCCGTTAAAAACTATACCAACCGTTGCGCTCCCTATGAGCAATATAGGCACCACATGCTTTTAATTCTGCAGATTCGGTAAGAGCCAATTGATCCCAAAGATCTGTCATAGCAGAATAAAACTCATGAACACTCATATTCTTCTGCTGAAGAGCTCGTAGTCATTCTCCATTGATACTGCTTTGCAAAATTTGACTGAGTAAATAACCTTTGTAGATGATCCCAAACCTCTTTTGCTGCTCATCTTCGCTAACTGTGACTATAATCCAACAGAATTATTAATCCAGTAATAATTTTTGCATTGTTTGCTTCCCAAGCATCATCAAAGCATCATAACCCCCTCGTATTCTAGGTTTCACAAAAGTTCCACCAACATATCCCCACATCTTTTTACCCTTAAAAATTTCTCATCACATAACTCCATACGAATAATTCTTGTCATCTAACCTCACACTTACAGACTGAAGCGAATCGTCTCTTTCAGTAGCCATATTCAAAAAAAACAAAGAAACCAGAATGCAAAAGAAAGGAAAACGAAATACCAGATTCCGAAATTAATGAATACCAACGAAATATCAGATTGCAGAAACTGAACGATACCCTCTCCAAAATTGGATCTGCGCAAGCGTGTTTTAAGATTAAGCCTCGTCCCATGAAACTTTGCTCTGATACCTGTTAAACAATCCAAAGAAAATAATAAAAAGAGGAGGCTAGGGTTTCATTGATATTGCACAATTCAATTGAATACAAAAAGTATGATTTAACCTAATACAAAGATATATATATAGGCTAAACAAAGGAAATAATGAAAAGACAAATCTACCCTAATAAACAATAAAACAAAATAACTCTATTTCTTAACTTTTCATCAAAGATAACTGTCAAGGGATTTAACTGTTCACAGCAAGCCTTACTTACTAAAACTTCAATTAATAAAAGTGCAAGAACATTTAGCAAATGATGAATTTTAATTAAAAATTCTACACAGGTGACATTTTTCTGCAGTTGCATCCACAGTCAGCATTGATCGAACAAGAATGTACCAGCACAGTGACTCAAGAAAGCATCCTAAACCTTAAATATAAAACAAACAGCAGCATTCTTGTACGATGATCATAATGTTTTTTTATCAACAAAATCACATCTTTCAACAGAAATTATACAAACAAAGAGGTCAAAAGGGCTACAGCAGTTTTGATGTTTTCTAAGGTTATTATTTATAATTGCAAACTGCATTATCAGCCTTTCCATCTACTGTTTTGATATTAGTGGTGTAATATCATACATAATGTTTTTTTTTTTTTTAAATAATTAATAGTAAGAGTAAAACTTTTTAATAATTTATGAATTTCTCAAGAGATTTTAATAACTATTCCTTAAAAAGAGACATAAATTCAAATATAAATACATTCTACATTAAGAATTCAAGTTTTTAATATTGAAAAGCTTAAGCTATTAGATAAGGACCGACATTATATTTAATATTTAAGTCTAACCAACATAATTAAAACAGTATGCATTAATAAAGTATACAGCATTCCCCAACTTTACGAATTGTCACCACACCAAACAACAAGAATCATTACTCATTTTTTATGGAATATTTTTATGATTGGAAACCAGCTTCATTCAACGTTCCATTTACAATTCTCCTTGTGGAAAATTATTATAACAATAATTATGTCAATTTATGATTTATGAGGAAACTAAATAAGAGAGAAGAAACCCACCCATGGGTAGCACAGTGATAAGGGCGAATCAAAAGGGTTGTGTATGGATTCAACCTATAATCCCAACAAAGGTAACCCATGATTTATCCGGGAGATTGCTACTGTGAGATAGTTTTCCCTCAGGATTAGCCGAGGTATACATAAGTTGGTCCAAACATCTCAGTTAGAAAGAAAAAAAAATTAAAAGAGAAGAATACCCAATTGAGAATTTATGGTGTTTTGGTTTTGGAGAATTTCTTTTAATTAAATTCTCTCATTATATATATAAAATAACAATTTATCTTTTGTGGTTAATGTATTGTTTAGGTTTCAGTGTTTTAATTTAACAGATTAATAATAATATAAGTTAGTTAGACGATATAAACCCTAATAAAACATCAACGATAGAGAAAATTATATTAAACCCTTAACAAAATGCAAAAGAAATACTGAAGAAGAAACATCTTCTCTCAAGTGTGGGTGGCAATCACTATATTGATTAATAAATTAAAGGAGTTGTACATATTAGGTGTACAATTAATAGATTAATTAAATTCCAATAGGAAGACTGTGAACTTATAAAAATATTGAAAAAAACCTTCTCTTGTTTCATGCTTATCCTCCTCACCAACTCTATATATTCATTTTTAGTGAAGGTCGAGAGAGCACATCACTCACAAACATGCCATACAAAGAAAGAGAGACTTCAACTGTTAAATATAATTCCATAGAGAAAGTTTTTAATGAAACAGGTGTGTGTGTATATACGTCTATTCAATTACGATATACGTGTAAGTTAATATAACATGAGTAGAACGGTTGGATGAATCCATCTAATTATGATCGATATACGTTTATGTTATCCATTTTGATGTAACATATTATGTTCCTTTCTTGTCGAATATGAAATTTGAGCATATTAATATAATGGGTAGGTTTTGAAATTACTAAGATTCCTATTATTATAAAGAAAACACCGTTAATATATTGCTTACAAATAAACTATCGTAAAAATTAAAATAAAATTGGAATCTCAACTTTATACTAATTTTTTTTTTTTTAAATATGATCATATATACTTATAATTATAATGTTGATTGTCATGTATTATATTAGTTTTCCCATAATTTTTGTTTAAGGTTTAGTTATTTTGGTATTGTAATAATCATAATAACAATAAAGAATAACAAATTAAATCCTCTTTTTTTTTTTTTTTTTTTTTCATAAATTCTAAAACAAAAAAATAAAATAAAAAAACATTTTCACAAAATACTTCACTTGCTGCTGCTGCTGCTGCGTCTTGTTCTTCTTCTTCTTCATGTTATCAAGGTTTTGGTGGCTCAGTTCCTTCCTTTTCAGGTTCAGTTACTGTACTTTTCTCTTCAATAGCTACAACTTCTTCTTCTTTCTTCTTTTCTTCAACAACTATCTCTTTCTCTTTAACGCCGCTTGTTTCTTCACCTTCTCGAGGCTTTGTTTGTGCTTCTGCTGGCTCTACTGTTTTCTCTTCTGTAACAATAAACGTCGAAACTTTCTCGAACACGAAGAACACCGGCCCCGGAACTAGGGCTGCTCCGTACTTCGATGATGCTTCCACCACTGGTTTCGATCCCGGAAACTCTGTATATTTCCATGCATCAATCAAACGAAATTCAAATCAGTTCATCCACTTCTGCAGATGTCTGTATTTTTTTTTTTTAAATCCGCAAACTTTCATCAATAATTAAAATATAAATTTAAAATAATAATAATAATAAATAAATCATACCAATTTTTGCTAGCTCTTCAAGAAACTTGTGCGCTAGAGTGGAGTGCTTCTTTAAGCCTGCTTCCTTTGGTTCCTTAACTAGAGTCTGCACAATTTGGAAGCATAAAATAAGGCGAAGAAAAAAGGAGTAAAATATACGAAAATTCTCAGGTGTGAACATTTAACTCAGTAAAATATTATGAAAGTTCTCAGATAACGATGCTTAACTGAGATATATACACGAAAAATTTTTAGGTGTGCGGACATTCAACTGGTAAAATATATGAAAATTCTCAAGTGGGAACGTTGTGACAAACCTTGATTTCGGTCGAAGAAGCTTCATAGATTTCAATCACTTTAGGTTGGAGCTCAGTCTTCTTCTCTTCAAACTCCTTATTGATGTCTTCCTGTATATATTAATATTCAAACAACAATCAGAAAAACAAAAACGAAAACAAAATATGATTTCAGTTGAAGAAGGTTTCATGGAAAAAAACCTTTGAATCATCAAAGGATTTGCAGGCTTCAGCTGCAGCGGCTTTCTTGGTTCCATTTTTCTCGAAAACCTTCTTGATTTTTGGCAGAACCTTGGATTTCCAGTACCCCATATCTGTTTGATTCTTTAGAAAAGTGCCAAGAAAATTAGAAGGAATAATCAAGAATGAAAAACTAATGGTGGAAATGGTGAAGAAGAAGAAGAGAGGATGAACTTACAATAATTCAGAGTTGTGATTAAGTGTTGGAAGTGTGTGCTGATTTTTTCTGTGTCGTCGTCTACAAAAGCTTCAATCAAAGTCGACCACACAGCAACTGTCGTTTGAGCCAACTGTCCCTCCAAATTTATGGCTTCATTAAGCTTGTGAAAATGGCTTCATCATATAGACATGCTTCCTTCTAAACTACCCATTCCATTCCATCTTATTTACCAAATATACCCTGAAGCCTAAACCCTTATTTTTGTCTGTTTGTAGTTTATTCGAGAAAGTCTATGTATTAAGGAATCATATGATGATATATACATTAAGTTTGATATTGTTAATTGGTAATTACTTTCGTGGTAGTCAAAATTTTTTTTTCCCGCATATGATAATTAATTAATTCTCACAATGTTATTATACGGTTGAAAATGTGGGTATTGTTAATAATGTTAATTTTTTAGATAAGAAAACAAAATATTGATTGAATAAAAAGAGTTACAGAAGTCAATTGAGTGCCCATAATGACTTAGAAGATAGAAGTTGTTAAAAATAGATGTGAATCAAACACTATCTTTAGGTCGGACGATAAGACTTTAACCATCTGAAGGGTTACCAGAGGTCTATATTTGAGTCTTATAAATAGTCATATCATATGTGGATTTATTGGTCTATTGGATTTGTAGGGTGTTCAATAAATACCTGAGAATTAGTGAAATACCCAAACTAGTCCAAACACCTCAATTATCAAAAAAAAAAAAAAAAACTCAATGAATTTATTAATGTTTAATTAAGTTAGACTGTTTATTTATGCGTATATTAAATACGATCACAAGTCTTATATTATTCCAGAATTGAATTTTCAAATCATGATATTTTAATTTATTTATTTTGGGTATCTTAAGATGACTATTAATGTTTGATTTCAAGAATTGAATCTATATCCATATTGGAGGGGAGGGTAAATGGTCCAAATGAATCTTGAATAAACCGTTGATACAGTTGGATTTTAGAAGCAAGGTTGGTGTTGTAAAATAGCGGGAAATAGCAGGGGCAAAATGGGGAAAAGAAAGATGGTGAGGGAGGGGACAGCTGGCAATCAACTCATTCAAAGGTGGCAATAGAAGAGTGGGGCCCTTGAATTCTCATCTCTTTGATCTCTGTAATGGGTGATGATGTGATTGTGATGTTGATCTTTAACAAATACATATGTCTAGTGTGTCTCTTTGCCTTCTCACATGGCTTCGCTGGTTCAACCACAATCAACTCCTCAATCACAAACATTTTTTATTTTATTAAAATGGAAATTATTAGAAAATCCCTTTTTTAGGGTTTCATCATATCAAAGGTAACGTTACCGTTCACCTGAACTCTTAAATCATATATGATCTTCAATAATTAGGTCTAATCGTATTATCTTTATGAAAAACAATATACGATTGAAGTATTTCGAGTTTATAACTAATTGATGATGATGATACCAAACTAAAATTTACGGTCATATATGCATTGGCTTGTGGTACTATGATGTGATTATCACAGTAATAGTATAAACTTCTCAAATAGAGATAATAAGGAGTGAAATATATAACTTAAATGGTGTATTTTGAGCATACTAGATTTCGGGTTTGTATTCCTGTCTTACTCTTGTTAATTATATATGTAATTGTTTCAAAAAAAAACAAAAAAACAAAGGATTGAGAGAGATAGCTACATATCATATGTGAGGGCTCAGATGGTTAGAACGAATTAGGGAATATGAATAAACACACAGTCTCGGGTTGATCCCCATTGAGCATTTGTAATTTGAGTGGGGAAACCGTGACCGTGACGGTAAGATTAGCTAAGGTGTTAAGCTAACTGTTATATTTTTGAATTACGTTGCAATTATTAATAAGTTTTTTCACTATTTTAATTATTTATAGTTTAAATTTGTCCTACATACTTTCCATATTGAAATCCATTTTTCGTGTTGAACAACTTGGTTATAATGCGGACAAGATTGAAGCCATGTTACTATAAAAAGTAGACACAATACAGAAGAAGGGAGAGGGTAGTTTAATTTTGTTCATATTAATTAAATTATATTCATGAAGCAACATAAAATCTTAGCTTGCATGCACATGGAGTGCTTCATTTATGCCAAAACAAAGAGTAGGAGACAAAAAACTATAGGATTAATTAAGGATTTCTTGGGAATTACTCAATATTAGGTAAACAAGTTTTGTACTATTGGAGAGCTTTCCTTAGTATACATCACCATAAAGTTTTTTTACATTATATATATAAAAAAAAAAATTCTCAGATATAAATCTAAAATCCAGATTAAATCTTTTTTGTTTTTTTAAACAGAATGTTCGAGCCAGCTACACATTTTGGTTTTTTTGTTTTTTCTTGAAACAGGATGTGGGTTAGCGGTTAGCTTGATGCACCTCGACTAATCCATTGTAAGTAACTACAAGCATCTCACCGTCATGATCATCCACTTAAATCTTAAAGTCAAGAAAGAATTGAACTTAGACTGTGTATCTTAACCACTATCCCAGTACTCGTCCTCAATTTGAGCTACCCAAAGGTGGTAATCTGTTAATAAAGTAACCCATGTCGTATGTAAAATTTTGTTGTTTCTATTATTGGAAAAAAAAAATTATACAAGAATCAATTCATACGTGTACGAATAAACAGCGAAATTTCTTGACAATGATAGAAGAAATTAAAATTTTCTTGAAAATAATGGTCAATGATATACATGAGTAGCCTTATCACAACCTTAGAGATATGTACAAGAACCCTATCAAGTTTATTAGTCTCATAGATGTCATTAATTTTTAAATTATAATATTTGTTTATTTTCTATATAGAAAAATAAATAGTATTAATCTAATCTACAAGAAAACTTTATTAATAAATATATACATTTCACTAAGTTTCAAAGACACCCCATTATCCAAAGTTGAATATTAAATGAGATAGTAATATTATTATCTAAATTTATTGGTGAACTCCAATTGATTTTGTTGACCAAAAATTATTAATTTTTGACCATGATTTGTTCAATCTAATCATGGTTGGGATCCACAGTTTTGACAATCTTTCTTTGGTTGGTGTTTAAATTTATATAGATGGGTAAAACAATAGAATTTTGGTGGTAATTATACATTTGAGAAAAGATAATATATAAATATTCATGAAATAAACCTATTTTCTAATCCTATTTTACGATACAAGATAACAAAAATTAGCTCGTAATTTCTAAATTGTAATTGCCACATTAAATTTGAATCGCTTTTTGTTCTAACACCGTATAGTCATGAGTGTCGATAATGTCATTAGACATGCTCTAATAACATTACTAACTCTTAAATACAGATGGATCGACGTTCCAATTTTTTTTTTCTTTTTTTAGTGGAAATCTAACTTGTACTAAAAAAATGATAATTTATTTTTCTTTCAAAGAAAAAATAGTAGGGCCAAGTTTAGTGATAAGGGTAAAATGGCATTTCAAAGTGGAAGTCCATGTCAAGAAGGGAAGATGACATAATTTAGAGCTTGAGTGCACAACTCATTGATAAAGACACATTAAAATTTTAATTGACTAATTAATTAATTTGGATTATATTTGAAAATGAAAGTGTTACAGCTCTTTAATTCTTACCTACAATTATGCTTATCCAAATTAAGATCATTTTTCCAACCTAAGCATTGATTAACACTATCATGGTCTTAAATGACAAGTTTCCAAAGATTAATATAATTATAAATTAAATAAATAAATAGATAAAATTCAAATTTACAATTAGAAAATTCAGATAAATAAATAATAAGGTAGCCAAGGCCAAGAAGCAAACAAGGATTTCCTTATATCTTAATTAGTTTTAAAAAGAATTAATTTTAAGGGCTAATATCACATACCTCCTCAAGGTTTTGTTGGCTCCTTTTTTTCCTTTTTTTTTTTTTTTTTTTTTTAATTTAAATGGAAAATATCCACCATCCTTTTACAATATGTTCTAGATCAACAATTTCAAACAAAATCTACTATCAAATTGGTTGATAGTTTTTAGGGTTATAACGTTAATGATATTTCTAAATTAACATAATCCTCCTTATATTAAGTATAAAGTGTTAAAATAAACAACAACAAAGCAATTCAATAAATAATTATTAACTTATAACAATGTAAATTATAATGGTTTGCTACCAACAGAAGAATGTTATTATTACATCATACCTCAAGGGTCGATGTTTTTAATTCTAATTATTAAAATTTATCGAGGGTTTGTGACATTAAGGCAAACATGAGGGGGTTTATGATCTCATTGGTTGTATAGTACAAGAATATTTCTCATGGAAGCCTTCATTTGGTAGGACAAAACCAACCAGTATAGAAATTGACAGCCCATCTGTGCAATGAATTGACACTAATGAAGAGTGAAGACTTTTGTTTCAAGCGCCAAAAAATTTGAACATCAATACTCGAAACAAGCTCTCTACCAAATAGAAAATTTGATCAAATTTTTAGTGTCAAACTGGCCAGCCAAGCTTCTATTTTGTTCAAAGCAATAATCAGAGAAAAGTAGTAAAAGCACATGGGGATGATGCCAAAAAGCTTGAAATTGCAAGCAATGCCAGATAAGGGCCAGTCAGATAACTCACTGGACAGAATATCTGATACTAGTACTATCTTATATTTGTGTCATCTTAGAAAGGTAGGTGGGGTGGGGAGAGTGCTTGATTTTTCAATCCAGCACAACAACAACATCAAGTAACTTGTCATGTTTCACTTACCAGTACCACTGCTGGGCTGCTCGCTGGCTGCTTGTCTTGTTCCTTACATTACAAATGTTCAGTAACATCATTGGTCGATCTTGACAGCTGGACCGGCAAAGGAATTAAGAGTACACACCAGTGCTAAAATGAATTTAATGAAATTCCATGGAGATATTTATATTACAACCTAGACTGGTTAATTAAATTACAACAGTATAAGGGAAAACATGCGGGAGAATTTTTCAGTTAAATCACTAAAAAACATGTTTTCAAGATCGATACTCGCCTTTTATGGGGTGAGTCTTTGACTGTCATGAACTGGAGATCCTGATATTACCATCTTACTGTACCACCAACTCACTGGGGAACAGATGACCAAGTTAAATTCAGCTACATTCGAGCTGTGCTTGTCAAAGAATCTCGACTTCAATCAATGACATAGTTTGGAGCCACAGCTAGAATTCTGTCATCTCTAGACGGACGTCTTTCAGCTTCACCCTCGTCCACTGCTTGTCTGCCATCATCCACCACTATTAGATGACCTTCCCTCCGTATCAAGCTCTGCATTGAAGGCATTTGTTACGTTTAATAACTCGGAGTAATGGTATCATCTTGAAATAAGAATATCTGGAAATAGTTCATAGGATTCAAAGGGTTGTGTTGTATTACCTCAATAATAGCTTTGATTTTGGTAATTTCCTTCTTAACTTCCTCCATAGTACTGTAGGTATTTTTCTCATTCTGTTGGTCAATATACCATTTTATCAAGTCCTTTTGCCTCATTCCAGCAAGCCCAGTTCCTGCAAATAGCGAAAACATTACAAAGTTTCTTTGAGATGATTATAACGAGTAATAGATGACAAATCATAGATCATTAATAGCTGAATAAGGCTCGATGGTTAATCATGATGCATGCTTTCAAAATCAACATCTAGGTCCATTATCCAAGTGCATTGCAATGTGGAAGTAAACACTTGTCTTGAGGAAGCAAATTTAAATTAATATTAACTAAAGTTTCAAAGACAAAAAGTTAAGGAATTTGTTCATATATTTTAGCGTGGTATTATAATGTTTCACAATACAAGGATGAACAGCTAATGGCTCGTGCTGTTTACCTTGTTGGACTACAGTGTCTTCATGCTGTCTAAGACGCATGACAAGGGCTTGTGTAATCCTCTGGAAATATTCATCACTTATCACAAGTGTTTTCCCTTGTCGGTTAGAAGAATTTGGTCCATTTTCTGCACAGTTATAACCCAAAGTTTCCCTCAATTGAACACATTCATAGAGAGGAAAAGCTTAGAATAACATTGGTGATAAAAACGCACCAGCATTTCCGGAAGGTGGTTCAGCAGTCCCATTACTTGGTTGAGTATCGCCATTACCAGTTGGAGCATTTCCATTATCACCAGCATGACTATCATCACGGTTCTCTTCTTGAAACTCAGACAGATCGATCTCGCTCGATTCCACACTGCATGCAAAAAAAGATATTATACACTCTGACCAGTCTTATTTACGGAGAGGAGAGAGAAGAAATTTGGCATAATTTCACAGTTATCTTACCTGATTACAGATGTTTTCAGCAGTCTCACTGCTACATTAACATGACGTGGTTGTACCTGTGATAATCAACCCCTTGAATACAAGGTGGAACGCATAACCATGACAAAACAAGAATGTGATAATTCGCTAATCAGTTCACCTGAGTTTCTAAATGACTTCGAGCAATGCCCTCAGACAACCTGATCAATGCCTCCAGCTGCCTAACCGTCATGCGATATGCAACTCTACCACCTGGAGCTGTATCACTCCTACGCAGAGCAACATACGAGTCCACCAACAGCTTCCTGGCTTCCATGCTTAGCTGAATTACATCATTCAGCTTATAAGTAGAGAAAGTAGAATGACAGATATCTTTTTCTTTTCCCAAGTTAAAGAAAAAAAGGTCATTGAAAGATTAAGAGACATACCTTTGGTTTCAAAGTTTTTGCATATGCAATGTACCGCTTCAGTTGTGCAGTAGTGAATGCAGGAGCAAGTGCATTTTCACGTTTCTGATGAACTCTGACAATATGATGGGCAATGTGATAATCAGTTTGATCATCTGGGTCATCGATCATCACATACACCAGATCAAATCTTGAAAGAATAGCAGGAGGAAGGGCAACATTGTACTGGGGAAAGAAAACAAATCAAAAAGCTAATTAATCCACTTAAAAGACACCGAACTTGTAGCAAAGAGGAGGGAATCAATTGCATGGCTTCAATATAAAGAATATTCTTACCTTAAGTGGTTTAGATTTATCATAGCGGCCCCCAGTAGGGTTAGCCGCAGCTAGAATTGATGTTCGAGCATTAAGTGTTGCCTGTATCCCTGCTTTTGTAATGCTTATTGTCTGCTGCTCCATGGCTTCATGAATTGCAACCTTGACAATCATTTGTTTATAAGTGATTATGAATATCATGGAAAAGGGCCTCTACATAAAATATATGAAAATTACCTGGTCCCTGACGTCCATCTTGTCAAATTCATCAATGCAACAAATACCATTGTCAGCAAGCATCAGTGCGCCAGCCTGAATGGAGATTTTTATCAATAAACCTAAGCAGGAAGGAACTAGGAACATAGTGAAAATACACATCAGAAAAATGGAGCTATTTTTTTTTTAGTAATGCTACCGTTACTCACTCCCCCTACTCACTTCTCTTACTCACTTTTGTAAATATAAAGCATAGTACGGGTACCATATGTCATTATAACAGAGGTGGGTAAGAGAAGTGAGTAAGGGGAGTAAGTAAGGCTAGCATTTTTCATTTTTTTTTACTATCTTTTTCAGCTTTCTGTATACTTCCATTTTCATACAATTTTCTAAAATCTTCCTCCAAATATCTAGTCCAATGCCCCTTTGAATGATTGCAAATCAAATTTTATAGCATTAAAAAGTAAAATAACTCTTCTAGTGATATGATAAATCACAAACTATGTACTATGAAATGAGCTTCAAATCTTTATATTTCCTGCCTGGTCGAGCATTAACCATGATTTTTGTGTCTATTCAATGATGTATTTTTATCATTTTTTAACTAATTTAAATGTCTCCACTAATAACTTTAACCAGGCACGCTATTTAATATAACATTTCTTCTCCAGTTGAGACATCTTACTAATTGCCTGAATCTAGAATAAGGTCCAAAACTGATTCCTGACAATGACTGCAAACTCAGGCAATTTTTGAGACATTTAAAGTGACAAAGACTTCAAAAGAAAAAAGGATAAAACTTCAAAGGTACAAGATCAACATATTAGGTTGTCTTTAACTCAAAAGACAATGATCTATGGCGATAGACATGCTCTAATGCAAATGCCATGACTACCTAGGACTGCACATAATGCAAAAAATCTTCTGAATGAACACATTAGAAACAAATCCTGAATGTTACCTCAATGCAGAATTCCCCAGTTTCTGGTTCTTTGGCCACAGTTGCAGTCAACCCTGCAGCAGAAGAGGACTTGCCTGATGTGTAGACAGATCTAGGAACTATACCAGAAGTGTACCTGTGAGTAAATAGACCATTTTTAAATGTTTCAAACAGTATAAATAATAGGACCCAAAAAAGGGAAAATGGAAAACATAAAATGAAACTGAAATAAGGAAAAAGAAATAGATTGTCATACTTGAGGAACTGTGATTTGGCACAGCTGGGATCTCCAACTATGCAAACATTTATGTCTCCTCTCAGGTTGATGCCTTCATGGGTCAACTTGTGGACACCCCCCAAAAGCATGAGCAGGATGGCTCGCTTGATATCTTGGTGACCAAAAACAGTTGGAGCAATGCTATCAACCATCTTATTGAAGAAATCGGGCACATTTCTCATTCTTTGGATTTCATCTATCTCTTCTGTCTGTTTATTGAAATCAAGCAGAGCTCTATTGTTAATTGTTTGTGCTCATAAGGAGATTTCTACAAATATTAAGAATCCTACAATTATCTAAGATCAACCTAGGGGCAAAAACAGTAGGCAAACCATGAAATTTGTGATAACTATAAGATCCACGGCTTATTTGCAAATTCTGATCGGCAAATTACATATTTACTTTGAGCAGGTTAAATAAGAGGATATTATATTTCGAGCCAAAACAAAAACAATCGTCACAATTCTATTTAATGAGTTAGCAAATGGTTCTATAAATTTAGATATGAACAAAAATAGAGTAGCTTTAAATGAAACTCTCATAACTACAGCTTGGGCAGAGAGACAAAATAGTAAAAGTAATAGAAACATTGCATCTTGAACGAACCGTGAACTGATATTGTTCGTCTTCATCAGCATCCTTCTTTCTATTTTTTACGTCAGACTCCCTTCTACCATCAGCAATCTGAACAAAAAAGCAATCATGAAACATAGATTAATCCAACATAATCCTCACAAAATTTAAAGAAGATAGTTTTTATGACAAGCTACTCCAACCTGAACAGAATTGGCAATAAAGGCGAGGCGATAGGAGAGATCTCTCACTCCCAATGATCGCAGACCCCTCACACCATCGTGTCCAACAGCAGAATTCCTACGCTGATTAGCTTCGCGACGACATTCTGCTCTCTCCCCAGGAGAGGCCAATGCCATTATATCAGGTATGACAACCACAGTTCCTGTGAAAATGACCCTGCATTTTCCAAGAAGTATAAAATCGCAAGCCATAAATAAAAGCTGTTAATTCCTTGTACAAGAACACACGATTAATGTGGAGAGTTGATGATCTTACGTGTCTCCAGCCCTAGCCTGTTCAACAATGTCATGGCGGAGAATAACATCCAATGATCTAGGTAAAGATCCAGCTGGAATCTCCTTGGAAGTCTCCTGCACCCTCACCCTCTGCCAATCGGCAAACTTACTATCTTGACGAAGCAATGCCCATTTATTTCTATTTGAACACGTAGCATTCACACAAATAGTGGGCTGAAATCAGACAAATTCAACAAAACAGCAGTCACTACCACATTCAAGTAAACAATCCTAATTTGCACAATGAAAACAACAAACATCCACAGCACACCAACCTCAGTGTACTTGAATTGCTGCTCAACATGCTTGATGACCCCTCCACAATCCAAGCACCGGAAAGTTCCTTGTAAAAGCTCAGGCCGAACCTCACTTGTGCGCGTAACAACGCCAGTAACCGATACAAGTTTCCCAATTTCTGCTGTAGTCAACTCTCTCAATCTGTCCTTCATCACACACACAAAAACCCTTACATACTCTAGTCCAACATGTTCATATTTCGATAAATTATTAAAATTCATCAAATTCACCAAACAATAGCACTCTAAAATCAACAATTAAACCCTAAATCATGCAATAATCACTGAAACGTACCGCTTCAAGAAAGGGATGTTGAAAAAGGCAACATTCACATCTTTGTTCGGATTATCATCTGAAATGAAAGTCGGGTGTTGCTCCGTGACAAACCTCTTACACGCGTTCTTCAAATACGGCTCAAATCTATTACAATCACAAACAATCCATCATCCTATTACAAAACCAACTCAATTAAATGGCTGAAAGAAAAACAAAGAGCGAGAAAAGGAACCTCAAGTATTCGTTGGCAATCGCCTTTTGAAGAACATCGTTGAAGCGCATAACGTGTGAGAAATCGATGAACATGGTGGTTGATTCGTTGGCTCTCATGGCTTCAATTTCGGCTTCGTAATAAGCCTCTCCATCCAATCTAAAACTCTTGAGAAACTCCAAGAAAATGTTCTCCACTCTTACGGCTTTCTCGTCGACTAAGTACCCACCGAACGCCTCCATTATTTTTGTTTGTTTCAGAGCTTCACTTACTCTCTCGGTGGAAAGAATACCCTAATTTTAGTTCGGTATCAGAGGAAATATCGTTTCCTTCTTGTGGGTCTCTTTTTGGCGCGAAAATCACCATATCTTTCGCGCCAAAAGCTTGACGGGCACGTGGTTGGGCCTATTCTTTATTCAATTGGGCCTTTGGGCCTATATATGCTTTTTGGGCCAAAACCATATAGCTTATATAAATTCAAAGCAATTAATAAATATGACTTTATTATTAATAAAATTTAAAATTAAATATGTTTTCAAAAAATAAATCAAATTTATTTTTTACAATTTTCAATTATTTTATCCTAATAAAAAAAAAAAGATGAGAAACCAAGTAATTGAGAAATATTGAACCAAATTCTTACCCTATTAAAATTATATTTGTAATAATATAATAATCAATATATTTTATCGAAGGGACCTAAAAAGGGCAAAAAGATTAGGTTTTCTTGAAAGTCATGCACTTTAGATGAATAATTAATTAATATTCACACAGTTAACTTGATTCGTAGTTTGTTGAAGTTAAAAAGCTTAGTAAATTCTCTTATTAATCATAGTATTAGCTCCCAAGATTTAAGCGGATGACCATGGCGATTAGGGGTGTTAAAAAAAATACAAAAACCGAATTGAACCAAAAACTGATTAACCCAAAAAACAGTTCGATTACGGTTCAAGAAATTCAAAAAACCAGATTTTTAGTTCGGTTACCGATTCAGGAAAAAATCAAAACCGGTTTTTTGAACCAGTTAATATATATATATAAGTCTATCCTTACAAAGAAGCCTACAAAAAAGCTTACAAAGTGAAAAAAAAATAAAGAAAAAACAGAAAAAAAGAAAGAGAGAGAGAGAGAAATGATGAAGATGAAGGGTGGAGGTTGTCTTTGTATACTTCATTTGTAGGCTTCTTTGTAAGACTAGCACTGCTATATATATATATATATAATAATTTAAACTAAATCCTTAAAAAAATTGTTAGTAGTAGTCAATTGATATGTATGAATGTTTGATTTTTATTTGGATATATATTGTTTATGTTTATAATTTAATTTAGGAAAAAAATTTTAAAAAAAAAATTTATCCGAAAAAAAGGGGCAAACCGGTCAGGGAATTTTTCTGAACCGAAAAAACTGGTTTGGTTCATAAAAAGTGGTTAATCGGTTCGATTAATTGCTTTTGAACACCCCTAATAGCGATGGGCTAGTCACTTACAAGCATTAGTTGATGTATGCACAAATTGACTCAGACATCCTCTTTCAAAAAAAAAAATAATAATAAATATTGCCTTATATAAATTCAAATTAAGCTTTATGTGAAAGTATTAAAATGTTAAGTAATTAATAAATGATATTCTATTTTTTATAAAATTTAAATCAACTTAGAAACTAAATATATATTATTATTATAAATTTAATTCATTCCCAATGAAAGTTGCATATAGTAGCCAATCTTGGCAATATGTCATTCTTGGTATGCCTAAAATTAATGTGCATAATTTTGAAAATAACTTTAGATTTTTTTAATAATATAAATTTAATATATTACCATATTATGAGGAAAAAAAATTGTAATATAATAATAAAATTGTAAATTTCCTTAAAATTATAATGGGATTCATCCCACATTACCTTTTCTCCATTTTTTTTAATTCTTAAGCTGAAAACAAATTTATTTATTTTCTATTTTTTTATTATTGTAATTTCATTGCATTAGTAAGATCAAAAATGTTTGTGTATTTTATATATAAAAAAAATTAGCCTACCTATTTTTATTTATTTATTTATTGGTTGGTTTTCTATTTATTTATATATTTATAATGGTTTGGTTTTCTAAAGCAAAATTACTAAGAGTAGAATGCAATAATTCTTCTGAATCAAATCCTAACTAATACAATTTCAAAATAAAGATTAAAGAAGGAAGATCTCTAAAGATCTCTTGTATATATTTTTGTTCAATATTTATCCTTTTATATATACATCAAGCCAAAAAATATTAAAATAAAGATAATATTTAGGGATAAAAAATTGAAAGAAAGGAACTTTAATTAATTATTTGGTTAAATTGATTATTGATTTCTAATTATAGTGTTTAGTTTAATTCGACACACCTCAAGAAGGAGAAACCTAGCTACCCATCTCTTTTACAAATATTTTCTTTAACTTGAAAAAATCCAAGCTGCATATCTTCAAGTAAAATCTTGGCATATCTTGATCATATCTTAATCCCACCAATAAATTCGTATTAAAAAATTATAGTATAATATCAGTGATGATACTGTCATTCCAACATTATTATTGAACTTATAAAAAGGAACTATAATAGATATACAGTACTGATATCGATAATATTGTTATACTAACATTTACACATCATTTGATATTCGATAGTCAACTAATTAAATTAAATAAATAAAAAATTAAGTTATTATAGTATGATCTTTTATAGAACACTAGTGTCAATAATGCTGTCATTCGAACATCTACAAACCATTAAACCTTTCTATAATCAACCACTGAATCACTATTATTGTACTGTTGCATATGATAATCTTACTAGATTAGTAACATAATATACCCTAAACCACCACTAGATAGTAAAAGAGTAAAATAAATTTTTATAAACTCTTGAATTTGAGTCATTCTAAACACTAATAAGGAATTTAGGGGTGTTTAAAAGAACCGATTGGAACCGGAACCGGCGGGTACCCTAGGTTTGGTTCCGATTCCTACCCAGAACCAATCGTCAATAGGTAGGTTCCGGTTCCAAATTTTTGGAACCGTTACTGTACGGTTCCAGATCCGGTTCCTATAGTTAGGAACCGGAACCAGAACCAGGAACTGAGACTAATATAAAATAAAATTAAATATTAGGGGGGTTAATAAAAACTTTTGTAGAAAAAGTAATGTGAATACATTTATATTTATATTTCATAACATTTAAAGTAAGTTGGTTTGACTTTTGAGAATCTACCTTTACAAAGTAATGGAGTTTGTTATTTTGAATTTATAATTTGTAATTTTATTTTTGTTAACAAGTGCCAGGTGGGGGGGTATTTGTAAGTTTTTAAGGGTTTTTTTGTCATTTTAAAAACTTTTGGGGGGTCATGATAATTTTATAGGGTACCCAGAACCAGAACCGGAACCGTTGTTACAGGTTCTGGTTCTGGGTACCTAGGAACCGGAACCGTCGGTTCCAGTTCTGGTTCCAAATTTTAAGGAACCGTTGGTTCCGGTTTCGGTTCCGATTCCTTCAAAAAGTGTAGGATACTCGGAACCGAACACCCCTAATAAGGATGGCCACTAAAACTCTTATACGGTCAACAGTTTCAAAGCCCCGATAGATTAGCAATGACAAAATGACTAATGATGAACTATCACATTAAAGGTTATGAGAAAAGATTATAAGATAGAATTGTGAGAAAAGATTGTAAGATTGGGTTGCGAATTCCACGCTACTCACAATATGACGTGACCCATATTTCTTATAACATAAAAATTGACCACGCTATTAAATCCAAGACAATATAGTAACGTACGTTAAAAAGAGAAGATGAATGGGACACGTGTAAGAGACCCACATGACCCAGAAGTGAAGTGGTTAGCATTTGAAGGAATGCATAAAGGAGAGAAGGAAAAAAGGAGAAACAGTCAAAAGTAACCGTTTCAAAATCACAAGCTCATCCTACATCTGTACTTACCTTTAATGAAATCCATTTAATAATATTTGCATTCATCACAATACAAGGACTCTATAGTGCATTGTGATATTGTGTTCCTAATGCACTCAACTCAATCTCTTTAAGAGTATGTTGTGTTATGATGAGAAATCAAAAAATTTCCCATTCAACAAAATTGCGCATCAAATCAACTCATTTCATTGTACCAAAATTTTTAAGTGCATATGCCACTAAAATATGATCAAATCATATGTAAATACTAATATCCAAAATTATAAAAATGTCTTCTAATCCATTACCGACGAAACAATTAATGATTATCCATAGTCGTCTAACTAGTTCAGTTAATATATATGTCTTCTAACCTTTATTGATAGAATCATTAACCGACATAAAATGTATTAGTTAGATTAGAACGTTTTCTATTTTTTCATCGATTGAATTATTAATTAGTTTTAGAAGTATTTAAGTTTTTAAATATTAAAAGATAGAGATTATTTAACAAAGATTATATTATATGAAATACTAATAATTTATTAAAGGAGAATTATTTATTTATATTTATATATGGTACTTAAATAAGTACTTTAACTTAAGCAAGTTATTAATTTATTAAAGGAGAATTAGAAACGACATATATGCACCATCAATCTACAAAAAGAATCTCCTCCTCCTCCATTTCATTTCCTCTTTAAATGGAGACTTCTCTTTAGGAACTCATTCCCACCCAAGCCCCCAATTAAACTCCTCTCCTCTATCACTCTCACCAACACCATGAACAACACCTCAAACACAGACACAAACCATTTTGTTTGTCATCAAGAAGGTGAACCAGAAGAAGACCAAAAGGCCAAAACCAGCAAAGGCTACTTCACTCTTTTAGTCGTCAACTATATCTTCCTCTTCCTGGGCTCAGTCTCCGCTAGCCTTTTGTCAAAATTTTACTTCAATCACAAAGGCTCAAGCCGGTGGGTGTCTACTTGGGTCCAATGCGGTGGCTTTCCCCTCCTTCTCTTCCCAATCTTCCTCCCTTATTATCTCTTCAAATGCACAAACCGCAAGCCCTTCTCTCATTTCACCCCAAAAATCTTCTCTTTATCCATCTTCATTGGCCTTCTTTTAGGCGTCAACAATCTTCTCTTTTCATGGGGAAACTCTTATTTGCCGGTCTCAACCTCTTCTCTTTTGCTTTCCTCACAGCTCGTCTTCAACCTCATTTTCTCCGTCCTCATCGCAAAGCAAAAGCTGACCTTCTCCAATCTCAACGCAGTCACTCTCTTAACTTTAAGTTCAGTCCTTTTAGCCCTTGATTCCGGCCATGATAAACCCTCAAATTTGTCTAAATCGAAGTACTTCATCGGGTTTTTCTGCACGGTGGGCGCCGGTTTGCTCTTCGCCTTCTACCTCCCCGTCATGGAGATCATCTACAAGAAAGTTTACTGCTACTCAATGGTGGTGGAAATGCAGCTTGTCATGGAGGTCGCCGCCACGGCGTTGGCCACCGTTGGGATGTCGTTCAGCGGCGGGTTTGCGGAAATGAAGAGGGAGAGCTTGAAAGTGTTTGATTTGGGGAAGAAAATGTATTGGGTTACGGTGTTTGGAAACGTGGTGACGTGGCAACTTTGCTTCATGGGGACGGCGGGGATGGTGTTTTTGACGTCGTCGCTGACGGGGGCCATCTGCATGACAGCGATCTTGGCGATAAATGTGATCGGAGGTGTGGTGGTTTATGGAGATAACTTCGGCGGCGTTAAGGTGGTGTCGACGGTGCTTTGTACTTGGGGATTTTGTTCTTATGTTTATGGAATGTATGTGAAAACGAAGGAGGAGAAGGAGAGGAAGAGGGAGAAGAATAAGGAAATTATTAATGATAATGAAAATAATATTAATAATAATAATAATAGTAATAATAATAATGAAATGGAGATGGAGATGGCCCAGATTGTAACAACAGTATGATGAGGAAGATGATGATGTATTGTTAATTAATATAAATATAATCATAATTATGGTGATTAATTAGATACATCTTTTTTGTTTTTATTTTGGTAATTGCTTAATTATTTTGTAAATTAGAGTTATTATTTTTTGTTAATTTTATTAAAAATAAATTTGTAAGTGTGGGATTTCTTTAGAGTAATATTTATGTATAGATTTTATATACAAACCATTTTGTACAAACTGACGTGTTTTACATTTATTGAATGACTTTAAATTAAAGATAAATTAAATAAATTAAAGAAGATTATATGTTAAACATATAGAGTTTCTAGAAATTAAAAAAAAAAAAAAATTGGAGTTTAATTTCTATCTTATAATCTTATGATAATAGTTTTTGGTAGTAATTTGAGGAGTTATGAAGATTACTAATATATATGGTGGGTTTTGATTTCTTTGGATTTCTTTTAGAAAATATTGATAGTTAATTGTAAATAATAATTTAATTTTTTTGTCTTTTAACGTTAATTTAGCAATTAACTTAACAATTTGTATATAATAAAGTATTTGTGTAGATAATTTTAGTGGCAAAAATTTGAGTGGATAGGGAGAGAAATATGATGAATTTGAGATGATTTTCAAAAGATTATCAACATCAATATCGTAGGAATTAGTACTTGGGGTTTATGATTTCATTAAAAGTGTGGATTAATTACTTGTAAAAATGTATCTATTAATTAGGTGGAGAAGATTTTGTGAAGTTGACAACACTATTACTTGTCTCCACTTTCAATTGATTTTTTTTTTTTTTTTATTATTATTATTTGAAAGTGTAAAGGGATTAGGGATTAATTAATCTTTAGTTTTTTAGATTAATTAATTAATAATGAAAATCTTAAAAACAGTATAAGAATCTGGCTAGAATTAATCCATTTTAATGCATTATCTGCACCCAATTTCAATTTTTTCTTTCTTTCTATTTTTAAACTCTTAATATTAATTTAGAGTCATTTATGAACATATATTAGTATTCCTTAATAAGTGCTGAGAATGTTAAAAATGGTATAAGAATTTGGCTTAAATTAATGCATAATATGCAGCCAATTTCAAATATCTCTTAGATTATGCATTTTTTTTTTTTTATGAGCGAGGTGTTCAAGCCAGCTTGCACGTACCTCAAATAATCTCTGAAGTTTATTGAACATCCTACAAGCTCAATATTCCAAGGCACGCTACAAATATGATAAGTGGCCCCAAGATGGTTTAAACCCTGAAGTCAATGAAAGAGCAAACTTCTTTGACCGTCAGGCCAACGTTCCTTTAAGGTTTATGCATTATTTTTATTTCTTTTATTTATTTATTTATTTTTGTTTAAATAAAGTTCTTAGTTGTCTTTTCAAAATCTTAATATTAACTTAGAGATCATTTTTATGAACATATATTAACAAAAATCTTCTTTGAAAAGATGTACTATACCCATAAATATCTTCAAAAACAATAATATATTTTACCATTGTATTGTCTAATTATTGGTTAATACTAAAGCTTAGCAACATTGATTTAACATCATTATAAACAATGTTAAATTAATTGACTTTAGAAAATTAAAATATATTAAAACAAAAATGGTGAAGTTGTACCAATGAATAAAGTTTCTTTAGGAAAATAATCCGTTGAGATCCATCACAACATTTGTCTCTATTGAAACAAATGAAGCACATAATCTGTCGCCTATTGCTTAATCCTATCAAAACTAATTATGATGATGTAGCAAAGCATTATTAATTAATATGTGGATTTGATTAATCTTGTCTCCATAACACACCTTTTATTAGTAAAAACAAGCCCACTTTGATGTGCTGCTTCTGTGTTGATTATTATGGCTTTTACAAATCCCTTTCTTTAGTGCAAGTGGTGGTCACTCAATTAAAGGATTGACAACTACTACTAATTTTTTTTTTTTTAATTAAATTTTAAAGTAAAGTTTGATTCAAAACATTACTATTAACCAATGTCTTTAAGGTAAATCATTGTATATTGCAAATAATATATTATTATATAATCTTTTGAGTAGCTCTTATGAATATGAGAACTAAAAAAAAAAGATTGATACATCGACAAGAGATGCAAAATATCTTATCTTTCAAAAGGAATCTAAATACAAAGACAGAGATGTGTTGATATGAAAAATCACACCAACTAGAGAAATTTGATTGATTTTGATGGAATCGGATTAGATTGATGCGTGAATATAAATAATCAGAAAAGAAAAGTAGATCAGAAGACAATAACCCCTTTTAAAGTGGTTTGGCGAGCTAACTCTCAAGTTAATGTTAAGATTCCATATTGAGAAGAAAAAGATGTGTGCATGTGGTTTATAAGTGTTTGGGCACCCTCCCTTGGCAACCCAATTTTTCAAGAAAAGTTTTACCAAAACCCACAAGAGGACCAATGTCCAGTCTAATTATATCCAAGGCCCATTGCTCAACCCAATTCTTATCAATTTGGGAGTGAGTTCCTATCAAGTGGTATCAGGTTAAACCCCACTCGAGCTTATGTTCTGAAAGGGAAGACCTGGGAAAGGGCTACCTGAGAAGGGGTGACCTGGGAGAGTAAGCCACCCATAGTGAAGCCGTCTAAAGTGGGCCAATGCGGACATTAGGTCTTGAAGCATGGGAGAATGTTAAGATTCCACAGTGAGAAGGAAAAATGGTGGACATGTGGTTTATAAGGGCTTGGACACTCTCCCTTGGTAAGCTGGTTTTTCAATGAGAGTTCTACCTAAACCCATAAAAGGACTACTACCCAGCCCAATTGTATCAAAGGCTCACTGTCCATCCCAATTCTTATCAATTTGGGAGTGGGTTCCTATCACCTACGTCCATTGTTCTTGTACAAGAATGAACAGTCTTTTTTCTCTGCAATTTCTAACCCTTTACAATGAGTTTTCTAGGGTTATTTATACACTGAAATTGATAACAGTAAGTAGAGCGATTTTAGGGATTGTGGCTTAAACGTAAGAAGTTAATCCCATGATTGGTGTAATTGTGCTCAATTCGGACTTGTTTGTTAAGATGTTAGGATTATCTCCTTGATTTTAATGGATAAGGTTCATCTATAATCTGCTGGAAAACCGTTCGGTCAACTCGTACTCAACGCAGATCGTTAGTTACTCCAAGTTGTAGCTCGCTTAAGCTTGCTCCGAACTACTACTTGTTTCGAACTTGTCGTAAATTCTCGCACAACAGGATGTAATAGACATCTAGACAGGGAATGCAATAAATCCTATCCTTTGGAAGGAATTGAAATACAAAGAATATATTAAAAGAAAAACAGTTAAACAACCCTAAGCTAAAGATTTTTCACGAAAAAAAAATCAATCATATATATATATATATATATATATATATTTATGCAGTTTCTAAATGTTTTCATGAAAATAAGCCCATTTTTTAGTTTTCTTTATACGTTACTTGTGTCTTTAGTACATACGTCAAGATAATCCTTAACTAAATATAATGAGAACAAGTGGGAGAGAATGGGAGGTGGATTGGATTTTCCTTTCGTAAGGGAGAAAAGGTGGATCTTCCTTTTGATTAATTAATGAACAGAAAAATGGCGACTGATTATGATTAAATATATAATTAATTGGGGTTAGTGATAATTAAGTTGATTACATGAAACTAGCTATAGATGGATCTCATAGAGAACGTGGGTCTTTTATGATAATAGAAAGTGTTTAATTCTTTTTATTATATATTTTTTTAATTCATTTAAAGATGATTCAAATGGGTGTCTAGTCATCACCCTCACCGATTTCACTTTCAACTATTTTCTTTTGAGTTATGGATTAGCATATAAAATAAAAAACATAAATATAATACACCCTATCCAAATCCTCTAATCAAACATGATGATTTAAGCTAAATTTATAGATAATTTTTTATATTATACTTTTTAGTCAATCAAATTTATCTTGTATATCCTTTCGTCTCTTCTACGACATTTAGACATTTTTTTTTATACGAAACTATCAAAATTTATTCTTTTAGTATTTATTATTACCCATTAAAAGAAATTCGTAATTTTCTAAAATGTAGATATTTATAAGAATTCTCTGTATATAAAAATGTTCGGTAGTACCACATTTTTTTTCACAAAATATAACATAATTTATGAACAATTGGATAAAAAATAAAAATGTTTAGGAAAACTCTCTGCATATAAGAATGTTCGGGAGCAACACATTTTTTTTTTGACGCAAAATATAACGTAATTTATGAACTATTAGATCATAACACTTTCACTAGTTGAGATTCAATACAATTTGCATAATTAATATACTTTAAAAATGCCATATATATATTTTTATTAGATATTATACTTTTTAGTCAATCAAATTTATCTTGCATATCCTTTCGTCTCTTCTAGGACATTTGGACATCATTTTTTATACGAAACTATCAAAATTTATTCTTTTAGTATTTATTATTACCCATTAAAAGAAACTCATAATTTTCTAAAATGTAGATATTTATAAGAATTCTATGTATATAAAAATGTTCGGTAATACCACATTTTTTTCACAAAATATAACTTAATTTATGAACCATTGGATAAAAATTGAAAATATCTAGGAAAACTCTCTACATATAAGAATGTTTGGGAGCACCACATTTTTTTTGACGCAAAATATAACGTAATTTATTAACTACTAGATCTGAACACTTTCACTAGTTGAGATTCAATACAATTTGCATAATTAATATACTTTAAAAATACCATATATATTTTTATTAGATATTATACTTTTAGTCAATCAAAATTATCTTGTATATCCTTTCGTCTCTTCTAGGACTTTTAGACATCATTTTTTATACGAAACTATCAAAATTTATTCTTTTAGAATTTATTATTAAATTCCTAATTTTTTAAAATGCAGATATTTATGAGAATTCTTTGTGTATAAAATTATTCGGTAGTACCACTTTTTTTTACACAAAATACAACATAATTTATGAACTATTAGATCATAACACTTTCACTAGTTGAGATTCAATACAATTTACATTATTAATATACTTTAAAAATGCCATATAATATATATATTTGTTTTAAAGACGACAATAATGAAATGTTATTAATATGTTTTTATCATATAATAAAATATAAAATTTATATTCATAAATAGAGATATGCTTTATGTAATTTATATAAATCAAATTAAATTCTTACCCGTTAAGTTATACTATCTCAAATGGGTAATAATATTGTTGGTGTAATGTAATCCACATACGATCCTACTAGACAAAGGAACACCTCTTTTGCTTTAAATTTTTTTAGTAATTTCTCTTTAGAAGTTCAAAGAATAATATTAAGAATAAAAACATTAGTTTAAGAAAACAGAAAGGGGGGGTGGCATATATAGCGATTGATTTTTGTCTTTACATTTAACTTTTAATGATGAACTAATTAAAGCAAGTGATAATATATAAAAGGTCAACTAAAGCCAAAATTGTCCAATTTTGGCTCATTTTTTTATTAGAGATTAAATGATTTCATTTTGTTGTTTAGTTGCATGTTAGATATTTGTCGCATTTTCATTTGTTTTTGCAAAGTGTCGTGAAAAAACAGATTCATTTTTTTTTTTATTTTAATCAATTAATTTGCTTACACTTCCACCACCACGAAGTTCTTGAGATCATCTTCGTCAAGATAAACATTCAATTAATTAAGTTCCTTGAGAGATGATCAACTTTAAACTACCTATTGTCATCACTTTTGATTAATCTTTAATCAAAAGATTAACATATGATTGTCGTCTTTAATTAAATCTAGTCGTGCAACTGTTTATCCATTATTCATTCGGACTTTTTATGATTTTGATAATATATATAGGTGCTTGGGGTATGCTCGTTGCAGATTGATGAATATATATGAATGACATTAAATATAACTGACTTAAATCTTTATCTTTTTACAGTTGGGTCGTTAATAATGAACGATTCAACTATATCTAGATGACTAAATAGTTCAATAGAGACTTTTAGGTGTATTATTCAAGAGATCTTGAGTTCGAGTATCTCCTCAGTTACTAATAGGAGTAGTCACTGAAACTCTTACTCGGTTAATAGTTCTATGGTCTTAGGAGATTAGTTGAGGAACGTGTAAATTGACCTGAACACTCCTGCTCATAGCAAAAATGATGAATGGCTCACGAGAAGTATAAAAAAATGAATCGATTCTTTGAACCCTTAAAGAGACAGATGTCAAAAGAAAGAGTAAAAATAGGAGTTATCGGCTAAGTACGAATTAAAGGTGCTCAATCTTGCATGCATAATATAAAGATAAAAAAGAAGAAGGCACCTAACCTGCAGTACAAAGGGGAAATTAAAGGGGGTGAAATGCTAAGCTCAGGTAGATAAAATTCGTCCGGCGCTATTGAAGCCCTATAAATCACCTGCAAAATTACTTTGCTTTTTTTATCAGCCATTATAGGACGAATATTAGGCATATTCTTTCATGCAGGCAATATATGCAGGGCATTGCATAAATATTTATTCTCTCTCTCTCTCTCTCTCTTTATTTTACTTTATCATTAAGAATAAGAGTTAATGTATTGTTGCCCTCAGAGCTTTGCTGTAAACACGTATTTTCACTCAAATTTTAGGAAATTAGTGCTAACACCCCAAATAGAAGTTCCATTATTTAAATGTTATGGTGCTAGCGGTAGAGAAGACCTTTTGAATAAAAAGTTAGCCATGCAACCGGATTTTTTTTTTTTTTTTTTAATAACTGAAGTGTTTGGGTTAGCTTACGTGTAGCTCGACTAATTATCATGAAGAGTTATCCTATAACAACCCACCGTCATAGTCCCCCTAAGAAAATCATGGGCAAATGTACTACCTTTGGATCCAACGCTAGCAGGAATATCAAACCTGAGACTATGGGTTAGACCATTTGCAGTTCTCTTGGTTTGTCTTACTGTTGGGCTACCCATAGGTGGGCAACTGTTAGAAATTTCGGCTGAACGACAAATAGTTTTGGACAAACAATATAAAATTTTGACTGAATGGTTGACTGTTTTAGTAATAAATGACAATTAGGAGAGGCAACCTGAGTTTCAAAAAAATGAGGGACAAAATGTTTTTGTACCAAACCTCGGGGATGTTACTACAATAAACCCTTGCAATATTCTTAATAATAAGCAAAACTTAAGGAGATCCATCCATCCCTAACTTTGGATAAAGGTTTTATTATGGTTCCAATGACGACTAAGAATAGTTTCCACCTTTATTCTATCATTTTTTCCATCGAACACATCAAAATTTTCCCTTTTCCTCCTGTTGTAACATGTGGAATGCAAGAGCTTATTTGTGGAAATAAGTATATAGTACTTAAAGAAGAAGATCCAGAGAAATGTTATTTTGGTATATATAGTGAGACAAGTATAGTACAAGAGAAAAAACATGTAGAATATGATTCCATCTAGGGGTTCTTGCGATCGATTTGATTCGAGCTTAAATCGAACCAAATCAAATCAATTTAATTCAGGTTGGTTTGGTTCTATTAGGGTTAACTAATTTAATATTTTAGATTAAATCAAACCAAATCAAATCAATTTAATTCAAGTTGGTTTGGTTTTGTTTGAGTTTAATGAACCCGCTAAACATTATATATCCGCCAACCATTATATATAATACGGTATTGTGAAAAACAATATTATATATCTTAGGTTATAAGTAATACAAAATTGTAAGTTTTTAATTATTTAGCATTTGAATTTATAGTTATTTTCTTCTTCAAAGTATTAAAAGCTATTTTAAACCACTTTTTTTTTTTTCGGTGTTGTTTGACTGTATTATGCTTTTAGAATCATTTGTTAAAAAATTTTATAGCTTTAATTTTTTCTAAACTTTCACTCTAATTATATATATAAAAAAACATATATTTTAGGAATAAAAATGGTAGGGGTCTACAGCATAAGTGAAGGGTTGAAATGTTAACTTTTTAAAAATATATCTATATAATTGAAATGTGGTGTTAATAGCTTCACTTTTTCAAACCCTCGTGCAATTATAGCTACATAAACGTTCTAAATGATTCGATAATAGAAAATAAAAAGTCTTGTATAATAACATGATTATATTATTGTTTTGAGGAAAGTGCGACGACTAATTCAATAAGAAATCGTGAATGGATGTATATGTGTTTGTGTAATAAATCTTTTTTTTTTTTCTTATCAATGGCATGACTAATGCACGCTCTAGAATTAACTAGATTCTTATATATCCGAAATTGTTCATCAATCTTTATAGCATGCTTATTGATAAGTGCTTAATATAATTATGATTAAGAGTCACATCGAAAGACCTTTTAAAATAAAAGTAAATCAAAGATCACAAATAAAAAACGACTTTTTATTTCATTAAATTCATAACATAAATAATGATTTTAGATAAGATGTACAATTGCCCCCACTCGCCCCCACTTGCACGATGACTATCGCATCTTGCGCAAGGTATGAATTCGGAGTTCATCATTGACTATGATTTTCCGAGCTAAGTCGGCCCGGCCCATGGGCCATGATAGAAACTGAAACTGGGTAGGCTCATGGGCCCATTCATGGCCCAAATATGTTTTGTATAATAGTTGGCTGAAAATCCAATCTGTTATGATGACCACTGAAACCAGAAAACCAAAACCAAGAAACAAGATGAACCATACAAAGAGTTGAGTTCAATTCAGTTTTGTTTTTGTATGAAGAAGGAAATGCTAAAGCTGTAATAAAAATGGCAGTAGCAGGGGTAGCTTTGCAGCAGTTTCAACTGCCACTTACGTCGTCGTCATCATCATCATCAATCTTCTTCAGGAACAAGACTCAGAGTCAGAAGAAAAAGCAAAAGAAAGAACATTTCCATGCATTGATCTCTAAGCATAATAGTGTTGGCTGCCTTAGTAATTCTAATTCTAAGCTTTATCTTTGCAACAATAACTCAAGACTTGTTGTGTTTTCTGGTAAAGAAGACACTGAACTTCAGCTCACTCAAGAAGAAGAAGATGATGAAGAAGAAGAAGAAGAAGAAGAAGAGGAAGAAGTAGAAGAAGAAGCAACCCCAGAAGACATGGAGTACATTGCTCAAATTAAAAGGGTTTTGGAGCTTCTTAAAAAAAACCGTGACATGCTCTTTAGTGAGGTACTATATATTTATGCGGCATTGTTGATTTTAAGGTCTTTGTCTGATTGGCATTGAGTTTTTGATTACTTGAATTCTTCAATTTTTTATGCCTGTGGGGTGTGTGTTTTGATTTTGTGTGTTGTGATTTTGTAGGTTAAGTTGACTGTAATGATAGAGGATCCAAGAGAGGTTGAGAGGAGGAGATTGTTGGGGATAGAGGATGCTGATGCCCCCACTAGGGAGGATTTGGCTGAGGCTTTGGAACAAGTGAGTCTAAAATTTACGTTAAATTTCTCTGAATTTCGGTTTGTAAACTTCGAATGCCTATGAATTTTAGACTGTATTGTGCATATTTGTTGCATATATGTAGATGTAGTTTTAGAGGTTGGTTTAAGGATTTGGTTAGGATTGAAGAATGTTTATGCAAATTTGAGTTTTGATAGGCACAGTTTGATTTCTCTAAGAGTCTTTTTAACATACTCGAGGGACGGTTTGTTGAAAAATTTAGTTGGATCCTTTCCAAGTTTCCGAAACTTTCTTGTAGTACCAATTCATTTGACTAAGAAGAAAGGAACACTTAATTGTCTACAAGCTCTGCACAACACTCATTTAAGGATTGTTTTTGCAAAATAAAATATGCGATTTATCCTTTTGATCTGTATCAGTATCCAAGGTATAAATCTGCAAAGTTGGGTACCTTCTTTTACTTGTCTTTGTCTGGTTCTTGGGGGACAAGAAGACGGATAAATCAATTCCAGATCAGTGTTAAATGAGAGGATAAGCATGCCAACAGTTTTAGGGAAGGAGTAATCATGGGATTTATTATTTTATTGAGTTGATTGCCATCTATGTACTGCTATGAAAAAAGTCTTTATGTGATTGAGGAGCTGATGGAGGTATTCATAGAAATCTGAGTGTTATATTGACTGATAGGAGGAGACTTGACGACGGTGCACAGGTAATCATCTCATTTGAAAGAGCACAAGCTACAATCATAATGTTTCCTATTCTTTAACACTCAGCCTTGTTCTTCTCAATATTATCAAAAGGGTTTATACACTTTACTGCAATGCAGTGAGGATACATATTTGCCTGGATCTGACCTTATCTATAACCGCCAAATAGACAGTCAAATTACAGAATTTTTGCCAAAATGGCTCATTGTATACTAAATTTCTGCCTCCAAATTTAGTGAAATCCTCATATTCAAGTGAGATTTTTATCTGGGTTCCTGGGGAATGAACGTCCTGTGGCAAGCGGGAAGTTTAATTAAAACATTCACAGTATGTGGGATGCTGTGTCCCTTTGATGTATGTCATATAGGTGTCTTGTTGGCCTTCTCTCAGCAAGATATCTATACACCTTCCTGAATGGATGAGCTCTAAAATCACATTTTACTACTGAATGTTCATTCCTACTTGAAAATCGTTCTTCAAGCTGAAGCAAAAGACCTTTGAGGATCTTTCAGACATAATGGTTCAAGGATCACACACATGTAGTCCTCAAAGATTTACCTCGTGTGGTTTGGCATAAAAACCACCATGGAAAACATATTGTATTTTGGAATGCCTTTCTTCATTTTTGGCTGTTTAAGATGGAAAAAAATCTCCCGAACTCGGCCGTTCGTTAGATAATCTGCAGTTCCCATTATTCCCCTGCTTGATTGGACTCATCAAACTTTAGTAACATAATTGTCCTCAATTACAAAGAAGAAAAACAAAAATTCAAGGTTATTGATTAACTTTTGAGATTTAATTTTAAAACATTAGAATGCCAACAGTATATGACATCTATCACCATTTGTATTTTGATTTGTTGCTAAATCTGTCTAGGTTGATATTTTAAACCTTATATACTGTCATATATGCAAAAAGTAGTACTTTGGTAAAGCGGTTTAGTGTTTTCATCTATTAGCCTGAATTTTTCTTCACATTAGATGATTGTTGCATGATTTATGGTGTAATTGATCATCTACCAGGTGAATGAAGGAAAGGTCCCAAAAGATCGTGTTGCTCTTCGTATGCTAGCCGAGGAAATGGCACAGTGGCCTAATTTAGAGGTATAATGATAACTTGAGAACATGATAATTGGTCACATTTGAGATGCTTTACAGACACATTGGGTTACTGATGTTGATTGATGTTCACTTTTTCTTTTCCAGTCGACAGAATACCATCAATCTTCATTTCACATTGTAGATGCAATAATAAAGTGGCACTTGATTTGTTCTCTTTTCAAAATTTCAGATTACTTATTTTCCCTTAGGAAGCATGTAGCACATAAAATTTGTAAAACCCTCTGTAAGCTTTTTGCTCAGTAGACAACGCCTCAACATCAGAGAGCTTAATACTGGTCATGGTGATATTTTTTCTTCAGGGCTCACTGCTGATATTTGTGTGAAATAACTGGCCTTGTTTTAATTTTTTTTGCCTATATCCATTGATGCAAGTTTTGTTTTTTAATAGGTGGAAGCACCTAAGAAAAAGTCTAGCAAATCCCTATATGCAAGAGTCACGGACACTGGTATTGATCCAGAATTGGCTGCTAAGAAATTGAATGTTGATTGGGATTCGGCTGCTGAAATTGGAGAAGCTGACGATAGTGATGAAGCAGAAGTGCCCGCAGCAGTGGTTTGTTTTCTTGTCATTGTCCTGAGTATTGTTATCAGAAAACATGTCATTTCTGAAGAAAACTGGTCTAATTTTAAAAGATTTCAAACAAATATATAGTTCTTGTTCCCCATTAATACTACTGATAATATGCCTTAATGTTATACTAATATTAAGTGATAACCTCAAACTGATAATTAAATTTGAGTTGCTACCAATAATTATTTAAAAAATCATAGAGAAAAGCCGCCCCCCTTAAGACCATATTTTAAAGGTATGATTACGATGCCAGTTGAGTTGACTATTCTAATTTTAAAATGCTTTCAGAATGAAACTGCTGATTGAAGTACACATCTTTATTGTTTTGGATTCTGAAATTAATATCTGAAATCGTCGAGGTTGTGACGAGGAAACTAATTCCCTTGCAGGGTTACGGAGCACTGTACCTAGTCACAGCTTTTCCAGTTATCATTGGTATCTCTGTGGTGTTAATTTTGTTTTATAATTCCCTCCAGTAGAAATTTTGTCTTCCCATTTTACAATCAGTTTTGTACATTGCAATTGTGGAATGCACGAATCATTTCTGTTGTATCAACTTTTGTGAAGTAATTGATGTGCTTTCTTGTTTAATTAATCACAATCTACTTTGTACACAATCCAAATATAATCGTGGACACAATGTTAATATTTTTTTGGCTAGATTTTGCTAGTCGATCTGACATGCTCTCATGCATGAATTTTCTGTCGATGCAAGCTCATTGATACTCAAAGTGATGTTGTGTGCTTTTGGTATGAGCTCTTGATTTCATTATTGTTTAGACAAGTTAGATTTTGAGGTTGTTAGGGCCACCAAACCATCAGTACTGCTGAAAAGTCAGCTCTCGTTAGAATAAAAAAATATATCTCAGATAGTAGTAGCATGCATCCCCTGCAGGTTTTGATACAGAAAACTTTATATTTTATTCATTTGCCCGAGCAAATAGAGAACATGGAAATCACTACTTGTATGCGCTAGTTATGCTGCCCACGTCCTAACTTTCTCCATGTCTCTTCTTCCTCTTTTAAGCACTTGAATCTCAGGCCCCGTCCCTGCAGTCTATGCCCTTTTAACTCCATGGCACCTCCAGCATCAGCGGTTGTGCTTCCTGTAGTGAGCAAAATTACCCGAGAACCAGATGAATTCGTCGATGATCTTCATGAGTTGAACTTCTTGGCCTTTGGTGATGAGCCTGATACCCTGGTCAAGAAGGAGAGTCCCCAGAATGAGAAGCAGATATCAGTGGATCCTATATCGTTGTCTCTGAGGGAACCAAGCTTTAACTTCATGTTGCCTCCTGTTCTTACATCTCCTAGAGACACAACTGTGCCTCTTCCAGCAGTTCCACCAGTTCTACCTCCTGCAAAAACCAAGTTCATAAGCTGCAGCCTCCCGAGCTCTGCGACATCATCTCCTCGATTTGGCTCTATTCTGTCAATGAAGAAATGGAAGATTAATGAAAATCAACCTTCTCCCAAACAAGTTGATAATCTGGTCCGGCAGCGATCCTTGGCACATTCACGTCTCTCGTTGGTAAAGGATGCCATGCTAGTAAAGAGCAAGTCTTGCGGCGAAGGAAGAGCCTCTGCACCATCAGATGAGCTTGAACTTTGCTTCAGCAAACCTAAAGCTCCTGAATACAACAAAATTTCTCATACCAACTTCTCCAAAGCTGAGACTAACAGAGATGTTTACAAGAATGTTAACAATGTTGATCCTTGCGATGAGAACTTCAAATGCGGCGCCCTTTGCATGTTCCTCCCTGGCTTTGGTAAAGCAAAGCCAGAGAGAGCAAGAAAGGAAGAGGCTATGGAGAATGTGATTTCCAGGACAGTTTCTTTAGAGAAGTTTGAATGTGGATCCTGGGCATCATCTGCCATAGTTCATGATCACGATGAAGATGGAGACTCGATGAATCATCTATACTTCGACTTGCCACTGGAGTTGATAAGAAACAATTCGAATGATGCTCATTGTCCAATCAATGCAGCCTTCGTCTTCGACAAGGACTTAAAGGGTGTGCTAAAAAATGGTTCAACTTCAGGAAGAACAAGTGCCCGAAAATCCCACGAATCCTCCCGCCATGTTCGGTTTTCTGTATCATCACCTACCCCATCATACTCTTCGTCTCCAGCTTCATGCATTACCCCTCGGCTGCGCAAGGCTAGGGAGGACTTCAATGCATTCTTGGAAGCTCAAAGTGCTTGAGAATGAGAGTCTCACTTGTTTTTTGGTATTTATATATCCACTAGGTATAGCACTAGTGCCATATATTTGAGCAACTATATGTGCAACATGGAAGTTGATCTTTTATGTTTTTGTAGTTGATTTTTGAACCTTTGAGTAATGAGACATAACTTTGTGGGAAATATTGATTATGATATGGACAATCTTACCCTTTTCGAGGGATGATATTGAGACAATGTTGCAACTTGTGTAGCCTTTGGATCAGTATCTAAGGGTTGAGTATCCTTTAATTTAAGCTTTGTCATAGGAGGCAACATTATATTTTATCTCCTCATCTAATTTACTTGAGCAAAATACAATAATATGATCGGTAGGCAAATTGCATACTTTTATTAATGTACATGTGCATAAAATCTATAACAACTCAAGAGAGTTTATATGAGGAGAGAATAGTGATTATTGTGTAAGAAGGTAAAATTAAACCCTTTAAAAGGGATTACAGGGACGGTTTGTTGAAAAATTTAGTTGGATCCTTTCCAAGTTTCCGAAACTTTCTTGTAGTACCAATTCATTTGACTAAGAAGAAAGGAACACTTAGTTGTCTACAAGCTCTGCACAACACTCATTTAAGGATTGTTTTTGCAAAATAAAATATGCGATTTATCCTTTTGATCTGTATCAGTATCCAAGGTATAAATCTGCAAAGTTGGGTACCTTCTTTTACTTGTCTTTGTCTGGTTCTTGGGGGACAAGAAGACGGATAAATCAATTCCAGATCAGTGTTAAATGAGAGGATAAGCATGCCAACAGTTTTAGGGAAGGAGTAATCATGGGATTTATTATTTTATTGAGTTGATTGCCATCTATGTACTGCTATGAAAAAAGTCTTTATGTGATTGAGGAGCTGATGGAGGTATTCATAGAAATCTGAGTGTTATATTGACTGATAGGAGGAGACTTGACGACGGTGCACAGGTAATCATCTCATTTGAAAGAGCACAAGCTACAATCATAATGTTTCCTATTCTTTAACACTCAGCCTTGTTCTTCTCAATATTATCAAAAGGGTTTATACACTTTACTGCAATGCAGTGAGGATACATATTTGCCTGGATCTGACCTTATCTATAACCGCCAAATAGACAGTCAAATTACAGAATTTTTGCCAAAATGGCTCATTGTATACTAAATTTCTGCCTCCAAATTTAGTGAAATCCTCATATTCAAGTGAGATTTTTATCTGGGTTCCTGGGGAATGAACGTCCTGTGGCAAGCGGGAAGTTTAATTAAAACATTCACAGTATGTGGGATGCTGTGTCCCTTTGATGTATGTCATATAGGTGTCTTGTTGGCCTTCTCTCAGCAAGATATCTATACACCTTCCTGAATGGATGAGCTCTAAAATCACATTTTACTACTGAATGTTCATTCCTACTTGAAAATCGTTCTTCAAGCTGAAGCAAAAGACCTTCGAGGATCTTTCAGACAAAATGGTTCAAGGATCACACACATGTAGTCCTCAAAGATTTACCTCGTGTGGTTTGGCATAAAAACCACCATGGAAAACATATTGTATTTTGGAATGCCTTTCTTCATTTTTGGCTGTTTAAGATGGAAAAAAATCTCCCCAACTCGGCCGTTCGTTAGATAATCTGCAGTTCCCATTATTCCCCTGCTTGATTGGACTCATCAAACTTTAGTAACATAATTGTCCTCAATTACAAAGAAGAAAAACAAAAATTCAAGGTTATTGATTAACTTTTGAGATTTAATTTTAAAACATTAGAATGCCAACAGTATATGACATCTATCACCATTTGTATTTTGATTTGTTGCTAAATCTGTCTAGGTTGATATTTTAAACCTTATATACTGTCATATATGCAAAAAGTAGTACTTTGGTAAAGCGGTTTAGTGTTTTCATCTATTAGCCTGAATTTTTCTTCACATTAGATGATTGTTGCATGATTGATGGTGTAATTGATCATCTACCAGGTGAATGAAGGAAAGGTCCCAAAAGATCGTGTTGCTCTTCGTATGCTAGCCGAGGAAATGGCACAGTGGCCTAATTTAGAGGTATAATGATAACTTGAGAACATGATAATTGGTCACATTTGAGATGCTTTACAGACACATTGGGTTACTGATGTTGATTGATGTTCACTTTTTCTTTTCCAGTCGACAGAATACCATCAATCTTCATTTCACATTGTAGATGCAATAATAAAGTGGCACTTGATTTGTTCTCTTTTCAAAATTTCAGATTACTTATTTTCCCTTAGGAAGCATGTAGCACATAAAATTTGTAAAACCCTCTGTAAGCTTTTTGCTCAGTAGACAACGCCTCAACATCAGAGAGCTTAATACTGGTCATGGTGATATTTTTTCTTCAGGGCTCACTGCTGATATTTGTGTGAAATAACTGGCCTTGTTTTAATTTTTTTTGCCTATATCCATTGATGCAAGTTTTGTTTTTTAATAGGTGGAAGCACCTAAGAAAAAGTCTAGCAAATCCCTATATGCAAGAGTCACGGACACTGGTATTGATCCAGAATTGGCTGCTAAGAAATTGAATGTTGATTGGGATTCGGCTGCTGAAATTGGAGAAGCTGACGATAGTGATGAAGCAGAAGTGCCCGCAGCAGTGGTTTGTTTTCTTGTCATTGTCCTGAGTATTGTTATCAGAAAACATGTCATTTCTGAAGAAAACTGGTCTAATTTTAAAAGATTTCAAACAAATATATAGTTCTTGTTCCCCATTAATACTACTGATAATATGCCTTAATGTTATACTAATATTAAGTGATAACCTCAAACTGATAATTAAATTTGAGTTGCTACCAATAATTATTTAAAAAAGCATAGAGAAAAGCCGCCCCCCTTAAGACCATATTTTAAAGGTATGATTACGATGTCAGTTGAGTTGACTATTCTAATTTTAAAATGCTTTCAGAATGAAACTGCTGATTGAAGTACACATCTTTGTTGTTTTGGATTCTGAAATTAATATCTCAAATCGTCGAGGTTGTGACGAGGAAACTAATTCCCTTGCAGGGTTACGGAGCACTGTACCTAGTCACAGCTTTTCCAGTTATCATTGGTATCTCTGTGGTGTTAATTTTGTTTTATAATTCCCTCCAGTAGAAATTTTGTCTTCCCATTTTACAATCAGTTTTGTACATTGCAATTGTGGAATGCACGAATCATTTCTGTTGTATCAACTTTTGTGAAGTAATTGATGTGCTTTCTTGTTTAATTAATCACAATCTACTTTGTACACAATCCAAATATAATCGTGGACACAATGTTAATATTTTTTTGGCTAGATTTTGCTAGTCGATCTGACATGCTCTCATGCATGAATTTTCTGTCGATGCAAGCTCATTGATACTCAAAGTGATGTTGTGTGCTTTTGGTATGAGCTCTTGATTTCATTATTGTTTAGACAAGTTAGATTTTGAGGTTGTTAGGGCCACCAAACCATCAGTACTGCTGAAAAGTCAGCTCTCGTTAGAATAAAAAAATATATCTCAGATAGTAGTAGCATGCATCCCCTGCAGGTTTTGATACAGAAAACTTTATATTTTATTCATTTGCCCGAGCAAATAGAGAACATGGAAATCACTACTTGTATGCGCTAGTTATGCTGCCCACGTCCTAACTTTCTCCATGTCTCTTCTTCCTCTTTTAAGCACTTGAATCTCAGGCCCCGTCCCTGCAGTCTATGCCCTTTTAACTCCATGGCACCTCCAGCATCAGCGGTTGTGCTTCCTGTAGTGAGCAAAATTACCCGAGAACCAGATGAATTCGTCGATGATCTTCATGAGTTGAACTTCTTGGCCTTTGGTGATGAGCCTGATACCCTGGTCAAGAAGGAGAGTCCCCAGAATGAGAAGCAGATATCAGTGGATCCTATATCGTTGTCTCTGAGGGAACCAAGCTTTAACTTCATGTTGCCTCCTGTTCTTACATCTCCTAGAGACACAACTGTGCCTCTTCCAGCAGTTCCACCAGTTCTACCTCCTGCAAAAACCAAGTTCATAAGCTGCAGCCTCCCGAGCTCTGCGACATCATCTCCTCGATTTGGCTCTATTCTGTCAATGAAGAAATGGAAGATTAATGAAAATCAACCTTCTCCCAAACAAGTTGATAATCTGGTCCGGCAGCGATCCTTGGCACATTCACGTCTCTCGTTGGTAAAGGATGCCATGCTAGTAAAGAGCAAGTCTTGCGGCGAAGGAAGAGCCTCTGCACCATCAGATGAGCTTGAACTTTGCTTCAGCAAACCTAAAGCTCCTGAATACAACAAAATTTCTCATACCAACTTCTCCAAAGCTGAGACTAACAGAGATGTTTACAAGAATGTTAACAATGTTGATCCTTGCGATGAGAACTTCAAATGCGGCGCCCTTTGCATGTTCCTCCCTGGCTTTGGTAAAGCAAAGCCAGAGAGAGCAAGAAAGGAAGAGGCTATGGAGAATGTGATTTCCAGGACAGTTTCTTTAGAGAAGTTTGAATGTGGATCCTGGGCATCATCTGCCATAGTTCATGATCACGATGAAGATGGAGACTCGATGAATCATCTATACTTCGACTTGCCACTGGAGTTGATAAGAAACAATTCGAATGATGCTCATTGTCCAATCAATGCAGCCTTCGTCTTCGACAAGGACTTAAAGGGTGTGCTAAAAAATGGTTCAACTTCAGGAAGAACAAGTGCCCGAAAATCCCACGAATCCTCCCGCCATGTTCGGTTTTCTGTATCATCACCTACCCCATCATACTCTTCGTCTCCAGCTTCATGCATTACCCCTCGGCTGCGCAAGGCTAGGGAGGACTTCAATGCATTCTTGGAAGCTCAAAGTGCTTGAGAATGAGAGTCTCACTTGTTTTTTGGTATTTATATATCCACTAGGTATAGCACTAGTGCCATATATTTGAGCAACTATATGTGCAACATGGAAGTTGATCTTTTATGTTTTTGTATTTGATTTTTGAACCTTTGAGTAATGAGACATAACTTTGTGGGAAATATTGATTATGATATGGACAATCTTACCCTTTTCGAGGGATGATATTGAGACAATGTTGCAACTTGTGTAGCCTTTGGATCAGTATCTAAGGGTTGATTATCCTTTAATTTAAGCTTTGTCATAGGAGGCAACATTATATTTTATCTCCTCATCTAATTTACTTGAGCAAAATACAATACTATGATCGGTAGGCAAATTGCATACTTTTATTAATGTACATGTGCATAAAATCTATAACAACTCAAGAGAGTTTATATGAGGAGAGAATAGTGATTATTGTGTAAGAAGGTAAAATTAAACCCTTTAAAAGGGATTACACAATTTACACTATTTTTGTATACTTGAATTAATTTTTTTTTATCTCAATGCTTAAATGATATATAGTTTTGTTGAAAATTGGTATCATAATATGGGCAATACTATCTCATCATAGGGATGTCATCGAGACAACGTTATATTCATTGATAATCCTTCGAATCAAAATCTAAAGATTGATTATATCTTAATCGAAAGATTTGTCGGACATACAAATTTATGACAAAAAAAAAATATATATATATTATAATGTATATACATTAAATGAAAAATTTATATTATTTTAGCATCATTATTGTACCAATGTCATGACATTAACCATCTACTAAAGTTTTAAAGTGATTTGGATAATTAATTAACTTGAATTATGGATGTATGTAAAAGCAGAAGTAGAAATAAGTATAAAGGTTAATGGGCCATGGGCCATAATAGTGGCCCATTTGATGAAGCCCAATTCATAGTTAGAGCCCATCTTTTTGTTCTTTTTTTGCTTTCATTGCCTTAAAATGATTTTTGTTTGGTATTATTTTGTCTAAGGTGTCTAATCTAATCTAAATTAATACTTTGAAGACAAATTATGTAATGAATTTATCTGAACTCTTTAATATTAGTTAAATCTTGTGGGCAGGGGTATTTATCCGAGCCCTGATCAGGAATTAATCTCATACCTTTGCATGTGAGGACATCTTAAGGCTTTCACCAAAAAAAAAAAAAAAAAAAAAAAAATTCTCGCTTATGGAATATAATTTGAGATTCAAATCCTATATAATTTATGATTTATCATTATTATAGTTATTATTTGATCTCAATCCTGCTTTCACTTATGAATTGTAAACAAGTTAGGTCTCAAACCTAATTTTTATTATAATAAATAAAATAAAAAAATAATAAAAAGAAGATCCCTTCTTCCTCTGTTGGTACCTAACCCAGTATATTGTCATTGCAGATATGATACCATGTTATCTATCTACCTTCCACATGCCTTCATGTGATATTGTGATGTGTTTCTACAAGGACCATTTTGTCAAATATGAGAACATCAACGGTCAAAACGATAATCAAACTTTTATAATCAGTGTCGATCTAATGATTATAAGGATCGGACAATATATAGCTAATTATATCAGCGATATAACTGATATAGTTCATCTTAAGAATTGATTAAGGGGCACTAGTAAACAGTTATTTTCGTTAACAACAGTAAAAAATAAAAATTCAGATATAATTTATTATTTTGAAGAGTATAAAAATTTGTCGTTTGGTGTTTATCATCGTCAATTAACAAATGTTTTGATTAAAAAAATATGTAAACATCTACACTCAAGAATTCTTTGTGAATAATCCCTCTCAAGTGCGGATGTCCACATTTTCTTTTTAAAATACAAAGACCTTGTTAGGTTGTAGTAGTAAAACACTAAAACATGTAGTACCTCCATCAACACTAAAAGATGAAACTTCAACAAAAATTTTTCAAATCTAAAATTCTGAAAATTTGTCGTTGACTATCTAATTACTAGTTAACCAAGGTCTATTTTAAAAAACATATGTAGACGATTATCATTGTCAATTAACGTTCGCATTTTGTTGTTGTTAATATAGAGAACTTGTTAGCTAGTAGTAGTCAACATATACTATCACCATCAATATTAAAAGATAAAATAGAGAAAAATTTTCATACCGAAAATTACAAAAAAAAAAAAAAATTGTTGTATTATTACTATTTAATTAAGTTTCGACTTAAAAAACATGTAGACGTTTACACATGAGAATTCTTGATTAACGATTAACGTTATATATATATTAAAGAATTGTTTACAAAAGATCGATAACATTACCGATCCATAAGGTTGTAAGAAGAGATAAATAATATACCTAAGTTATAACTAAGAGATGACTTGAGGGATCTACCTAATACCCAGAGAAAATTCTGAAGTCTAAAAGTGTTAATTTCTTGCTGTCAAAGTTGAATTCTATGGAGATATTGAAATTCTAAATCATTGAAAATGAATTCAAACATAACAAAAACAAGGGCTTGTTTCGACCATATTTCTCCATAACATTTAGCTTATATCACTCCTTAAAATAAGGAGAAAAAGAGAAAAGGAAAAAAAACAACAAAAACAATGTACTGTTAACAACGAAAACAAAAAAATTACTATCGTAATAGTAATAAATATATTATAGTTCGTATGTTTATCGAATGATATATTCTCGGTCATCTAATTAATAATTAATTAGTTTAAAATAAGTTAAGAAGAGTGTATGAATAGAGAAAGTTATGAAAATATATTTGAACTATTATATATTTTTTCTTCGATTTATTAAATTATGTAATTGACTCGTCGTGACATTTCTCTTAATGAAAATTCTTAAAGAAAATAGGTATAAGTATGCCTGTTCAATCCAATGATATTATGCAAATATATTCCCTTTCATCTAACTAACAATTAATTAAGTTTAAGATACATTATTGTAAATACATGGTACTTGTCGAAGACTTTCTATCTGGTGACTTTCTTATCCTGTGTAGTTAGGATTGATTGACTATATAATTAATTATTAAGAAAGTTTGATATTTAGATTATTTATATGTTCTTCTTCGTTTTATTAAAATCATAATCGACTATCTCTCCGTCATTTCTCTTGACTAGATCTCTTATGTAACATTTATTGTATGACTCGATAGTGTTGTGATTTAATTTCTAGACCAGTTAATGTTGGAAGATGAATGTAATAAGTTGAGATGTAACTCTTTTGCCTAACACTTTACCCAATTTAAGAATTAGTTTTATTATATATATGTAAACAATTAATCATTTAATTCATATTAATTAAAAACAATGGTATTTGACTATACGAATCATCTAGAGTTACAAGGATAGGAGAATATATAGCTAATCATATTAGTGATTAAATGTTATAGTTCATCTAGAATTGATTAGCTAGCAATAGTAAACTGTTATTTTCCGTCAACAATGGTAAAAGACAAAAATTTAGATATAATTTATTGTTTTGAAAATTGTAAAAAAATGTCGTTTAGTGTTTATCATCGTCAATTAACAAATGTTTTGATTTTAAAAATATGTAAATATTTAACTCGAGAATTCTTCACGAATAGTCTGTCTCAAGTGTGGATGTCCATATTTTCTTTTTAAAATATAGAGACCTTGTTAGGGGGTAGTAGTCAACATATACTATTGTCATCCCTATTAAGAGATAAAACTTCAAAGAAATATTTTCATATCGAAAATTATAAAAAAAAAAAGTTGTTAGTATCTATTTAATGAAGGTTCTACTTAAAAAATATGTAACTTATGAATATATCCCTTTCGTATAACTAACAATTAATTAGGTTTAAATAACTTTAGATGAACATGGGAATGCTGTGATACATGGTACTTCTCGAAAACTTTCTCATCTTGTGACTTTCTCATCCTGTGACTTTCTCATCCTGTCTAGGCAGGATCGATTCTATATAATTAATTACAAGGAAGGTTATGAATATCTTGGATTATTGATTAATTGTTGTAATTAGTTAACAAAGTAGTTAATTAGTTTATAGTTAGTTAACTGCTGTTATGGTTAGTTAGAATGCTGTTATGGTTTAGTTAGAAATAATTGACTATGGTTAACTTAACCATAGTTACTGCAGATTGTATATAATTGTAAATAACTCTTGTAGAGTTAACATTTGAGTTGAATAAAAGAAATTCACTTTACTTTCTCTCTGAAATAGACTCGAACATGGTATCAGAGTAGTGTTTTCAGCTGCGGAATTTACAATCTTTCAATTGAAGAATCAAGCTCAAATAGAAGTTGTACTTGTATCATCCTTCAAGACCGGTTGATCGTCGTCATCAATTTCTTCCTTGTCGTTGTCAATTTCTTCCTTGATTAAAATAGGTTTTATGCCAAGTTGATTTCTTCTATCTTCATCAGCAAATTTCGTCCTTGATTAAGCTGATTTTCTGCTAAATCAGTTCTTGATTAGCTTGATTTCTACACATACCTTAAAGTCAATTGATTCTAGATGTCGAATGTTACTGACTCGGGTTCTCCTCTCTACATTCATCCGTCGGACACCCCAGGTTCAACTCTGATTTTAGAACAACTTACTGGAACAGAAAATTATGGGATATGGAGTCATGCGATGACAGTCTCTCTAAGGGCGAAGAACAAATTGGGCTTTGTTGACGAATCTTGTGAGAAGTCAAAATTCAATGAGTCTTTGCATGCACAGTGGGAACGTTGTAACTCCTTAGTTTTGGCATGGATTTTCAACACTGTGTCGAAGGAGATATTCAACAGTATTGTGTACTCTACCAGTGCTCATCAGGTCTGGCAAGATCTTTAAGAACAATACAATAAAGTCAATGGTACGAGAGTGTTTGGTATTCACAGAGAGGTAGCTAATTTGGTACAAGGAACAAATATAGTTGCAGTTTATTACAACAAATTGAAAACTTTGTGGGATGAACTGAGTTCATTAGTGAGTCTGCCACCACCAGATAGTGAGTCAGCCA